AGAATGATTTCAAAAATTAGATGGTTGATGTAATTGAACGAATTAATCCAATAAATAAAAATGATTATGAAAACAAAAACAACAATTACAAATATTATGTTTCCAAGCATTTATAGAATTTGATACATATAAAACAGAACAAGATAAACCATTAAAAAATAATTTGATAAAACAATTTAAAAAAGTACTTAAACAAAAACAAATAAATATTGATGATTTGAATGAAATGAAAAATAAATTACATGATATTGAAAGAGGTTTAGAAAAACTTAAACAATGACTTGTTGATATTTATCCTGATAATACAATGATGGATATTCATGTTATTAAAAGACGTTATTTGTTGAAGCAGCAAAGCCAACATTTAACGACGATGTTGATGTTAATCCATGAAATGCAAATAATGAAGATGAGATCGATGATAAAACAAGCCAGGTCCAAGAAAACGGCCCGTAAACGTCGGTAAGTGGCACAAAAACGACATAAAACGTCGGAAAACGGCCCGAAAAACGGGCAGACGGATTACGAAGAAATACGGCTAAAATTAATGCCTTATTACGCCGTTTTATAGCTGTTTGAGGCTGTTTTCGATGCCGTTTCAGACGATCGGAATGGTCGACCTGGGCATATCATCTGATGATATTGGCAATTTTGAAAACTTAACTAATTCTACGCAAGATCTTCTACCTTCATCTGATATTATTTCATTATCACCGTCAATATCTTCACCACCTGCTGTTTCTTTATTGTTCATCGTCGTCAGCATCAAATGCAGTCACTAAAAAAGCACCACTAAAATTCATTGTCAAAAGATTACAGCAACCACCAACTTCGACTAAAATCACACATATGAATTAAAAACAGCCAATATATCGTCTGCGTTAAGAACATGAAAACAATGTAATAATGTTTTGTAATTTTGTTGAAATTTTTTTTTTTTGAATGTTATTACTACCTAGTAAAATGAAATAAGAAACAAATAAAAATGATTTCCAAACAAAAGAAAATACGATTTCATCGGTTGCTGAGAAGCAAAAGTTGAGACCAGCATATTGATTTATATCAGAGGGATGTAGATTGATCTCTCTCTACTTGATTTACATCTACACCTACACCCACACTTTTCTACTCAAACCAAATGCAGACCGTTAAGCAAGGTCGAAACGCGTCGTGTGATGCTCTGAATTTCGAGTCTTGAGTTCTTTATTATATGAATTATATTCAGTCTTTTATCTAATTATGTTTAAGTCATAACTTCTTCAAAAATTTGGATGAGTTGTGACTTGCATGTAATTTAGAAATTCTTAACATACCTGACGAGGACCCTTAAGCAAGGTCGAAATCCGGATAGTGTGATGCTTTGAATTTCAAGTCTTTGAGTTCTAATTTAAACGAAATGAGTAGGGTAATGCACTGATATTAGTCTGTTACATGATACATTGGGACATCCACACGCTGAATACGGGCAAGGTTCATGTGACATGCTAGATGTCGCTAGTATACGGTGACCACTACCCATTCACCGCTTTACTTCTCAGAAACTATTTTCAATATATATACCCCAATCGATACACATACAGATGTGATATTCGTATCACATGGTATTGTACTGCAGTCGTTTGCAGCACAAACCAGGCGATGAGACTTAAAGTCAAGTCAACATTCGTTCTGGCAATTCATATCACCACTGTTGGTGAATAATTTTTAAATTTTTATGTCGCACGCCAGCGACCAACCATTCCAACATTCCATACCACTACATACTCTGTCAAGCCGATCAAGCGCGCTTGACAACATTCCTACGATTAGTTTCACTCAATGTTGTAAATCACTGCTATACAAGATCAAATTTTACCCATGCATAAGTCAAAAGGAAAAAACACGTCTAGTTCTCAATTGTGGCGTCAGTTTCAGTTTCAACTTGTCACTTTTCATCCTGAAAACAAAGCAATCTAATGGCTCCACATCATACAACATCCTACTCTCACGTCATCACAGCTGCAGTTGGTGCAGTGAAACGACTGCCTCAAGGCGACAAGAACATCCTATTTTGGAGACATAAAATTAAACATTACTTAAAACTGACAATCCTCCAACAAAAAGCTCAATATTAGAATATATAGGACAACAATGCCAAGTCGCCATTTCAGACTTCAATCACCGCTAACCTAAAGGACCACTTTCATTGAATAAGTTCCATAACATTTAGAAAAAAATCTATTGCATACAACATTATACATAAATTTACTGTATACAATATTTTCACAAACTGATTAACCTATGCCTTAGGAAAATAAAAATTCGTCGTGCGATACTGTACAATCTAAAAATCTTTACTAATTAAATAGTAATATACTGGACTTGATTATTACGAAATTGATCCAGACTACTTCAAAATACTGCAAAAATTTGGAATTCTTATGTAATAATAGATTGCAAAACATGCCTGATGAGTGACCTTTAAACAACGTCGAAATCCAGATCGTGTGATGCTCTGAATTTCAATTCTTTATTTTAAAATTATTGAGTTATATCTTTCTCTATTTTAACTACGAGTAAGCAACAACTTCTTCAACTTTTTGGATGAGTTATGACTTGTATGTAGTTCTTATGAAATTCTAAACAGACCTGAGGAGGACACTTAAACAAGGTCGAAATCCGGATCGTGTGATGCTCTGCTGAATGTCAATTCTTGAGTTCTAATTTACACATGACATAACATCAAGTCATCGTGGTAACCTTCACACACAGATCATCGCAGCTAGTGCGGGTGCCGCGAAAGGAGTTCCATCACTGACGACTCATACACATCCATACAAGCACACATTCATACACACACACATCATCGCAGCTGGTGCGGGTGCCGCGAAAGGAGTTTCATCATTGACGACTCATACACATCTATACACATACACATCCATAAACATACACGTCCATACACACACAGATCATCGCAGCTGGTGCGGGTGCCGCGAAGGGAGTTCCATCACTAACGACTCACACACATCTATACACACACACGTACACATACCGATCAATTATATTTAAGATTAATTGTACCTCAAAATTTTAATTCTCCAAGAGTCTACATAAATATTTTTAATTATTGTATTGAAAATAGTAGTTCATATGTTCTTATCTTTATTATTTGAATTACTTTCTAAGCAGATAGAAAATTAAGTTTCCACCTGAAAGAAGTCCTGCCAAGACAGAAACAACCGTTGTCGTAGACGGCGATCTAATCTCTTTTTCACACCCACTATTTTATTCTGAGCATATCTACTTGTTAGACCAGATATTTCAGATATCACGTTTGGATTCAAAAATGATACCTGAAACTCTTATACTGCTACTTTGGCTACTTGACAGGATTAAGTCAGAAATATCGAAATAACTAAGTTATCGTGGTAACTACTACACACCCAAAAATTCTTCATTGGAACAGTATATGATCAGTACTTAGGATTAATTCTAATTTAATTCTATAGTGCTGTTTGCCATCTGTTGAGTCCCTTAAGCAAGGACGAAACACGTGTCATGGCTGCTTATCACACAACTATAAATAGAATCTATCATTATTTTGGAATTCATTTGTTCCAAAGTAACAGTATATGATCAGTACTTAGGATTAATTCTAATTTAATTCTATAGTGCTGTTTGCCATCTGTTGAGTCCCTTAAGCAAGGACGAAACACGTGTCATGGCTGCTTATCACACCCACACCCACACCCACACCCACACCCACACCCACACCCACACCCACACCCACACCCACACCCACCCAAAACA